TTTCTTCCTTTTGAAGTTAAGGAATAATATTTATCCTGCAAAAATTTTGGGGTTAAAAAATCTTCTAGGTAGAGTAAAAATGTTCCAGTAAATAGTAGGCATCTTCATGCAATAGAAATTGAAATTGTTCAGTTGTGTTTTTGTGAAGAGGCAACAGAAAACTGAAGAGTAATTCCATGATAGGGAAGCATAATTAGCCAAGTCATGAAATAACTCATCTGCTGTTTCAAGTGAGCAGGCAATTGCTGATTTGCAGCAGGTATTTGACCACTGCCTTCTTCACAGGTGGATGGAGATAACTAAAAAGGAAAACAATGCTTGCCTTTCATCCATGTGTTTAGATTTCATAAGTTTAATATTCAATGTCTGAGCCAGTTTTTGTTTGTTCCTAGTTCTTATTTTACAGGTTGCATCTACAGTACAAATAGCTTTCCTAGGCACCTGTAGAATATATGAAATTCTTCCCCAAAGAGTTTTGTGATACTATTGGAAAACAAGACCCCTCAAAAAATGGCTGGAACAAGGTGGGATAATGGATGGACATGTGGAAAAGTGGAAAGTCTATTTATCTGTCTAACCTTTTATGAGCATCTTTTCCAAAGGAACACAAGTCTTAAAATCATATTCTTTTGTCTAGGTCTCTGTACTACAATGATGGGCTGTCATGGCTTGGGAGTTCCCAAGTAAGTGGACATCAGCACAGGCTTTTTAAGAACTACTCAGACCTACAATTACTAATATCTAGTTAAAGACCAGTTGTAAAGATATGAGACTATTTTGAGAGTGGCCAAAAGCTGCCCAAAGAAACATTCAGGAAATAATATCATGAGAAATTGTTTCTCCTAAACCAAGCAAAACCAGTCCTGTGCAGGAGGTAAACAATAAATCAAGCATTTATGCATACCTGAGGTTCAATTAAATTAGACAAATAAAGAAATCAATAAGACCTGCTCTCTTCACAGAGTGCAAAAGAGACAAACAAAGACATAACCTCTGTGAGATGCTAACTATGGATCCAACACTGTGCTAAGTGCTTTTTATATGTGAAATCTTTAATTTTTAAAAGATTCCATGAAGTCAGAATTGTCCATTTCATTCTGTTGATGAGGAAATAGACTCAGAGGGGGACTAGGGTTGTGGCTCAGTGGTAGAGCACTTGCCTTACATGTGCGAGGCCCTGGGTTTGATTCTCAGCACCGCATACAAATAAATAAAATAAAGGTCCATTGACAACTGAAAATTTTAAAATATATAGACTCAGAGAATCTAAGTAACTTTGCAAGACCCAGGCAATGGATGCAGAGCAGAGCTGATTAGATCCCAACTATTCTAATGAGGGTGAGAAGGATTAAAATGAAAGACAAGGTATTTTCATTGAAAGGTGATTTAACAGGATAAAAATCATTAACACCTTTTTCCTAACAAATACATAAACGTACTAAGGCCCTTTGGTGGCCAAACACCACTCAGCAGGTCTCAGGATGGCCATTCGAGCAACCTACTCACTGTTATAAACTGTTGGATGGCTACGCCAGGGGTTGTGCCCTGCACCACCCTGTGGATGAAATGCCCCATCACGGATGAGGGAGCAGCTAGCTCTTCCTGGAAACCATTGGCATGTATGAGGGTGTTAGAGAAGCCAAGCTTCTGTTTTCTCATCTAGTACAAAGGAATCCTTCCTACCCTCCTCAGGAAGATGTTGGTAAGATATGGTTGGGTGGGAATCGAAGAAATTGTTTCAGTGGTAGTCACTGCAGAAGGTCAAGGCTGGGTTGGCGCGGTCCTCAATAAGAGTTATTGTGACCATGGTCCAAAGTCTCGCAGGACTTTTTTTTTTATTTGTTTGCTTTTATTTTTTTTTGGTGTTAGATACCTGAAACACCAAGGGCAGTTCTGTGCCAAGCCACAAGAAGAATGAAAGCCCAGGACTTCCCCTAGGGCACCAGCTTCCATTTGAATTTGAGGCAGTAAAATCTTCCCAACAGTTCTAGTTTGAGAACTTCCTGCTGGTTCACATTTCAAACAGAGCTCACACTTAATCCCCAACCTGGCACCAGAGCTCACATTGAACAGGTGGACCACAGGAGACCCAGGGACAAGGCACTTTCCTGAGAGCTGGACCAGCTTCCAGTAAGTACTCTATAATGTCACTGGTTTGGAGTCTCAAGACTATTGTGATTTGGAAGCTCATTACCATGGAGCAGTTGAAAAATTGAAAATCAAAAATTGGAAATTTTTCAATTGAGGCATCTTGCTTTTATGAGCTTTTTTTTTTTTTTCATAATCTTCTTGGGCTGTACAGAGGGAAATAAGACCTCTTGGTATCATAGTCCACAAATCCCGAGTGACACTATAATGAACAGCTGAGGCAGTGAATATGGAGTGCTGTTCCTGAGTGAGATTGAAGAGATGAATGGAAAGGTTTTTCTGCTTGTTGATTTGTTTGGGGGCAGCAACAAGAAATGCAGACAGAACTAGGGAAAGGTTTTATTCTTTTTCCTTGGATAGGAAGGACAAAGTGGTGAAGATTGACTTTCAAGTTGGGAGGCTGGCTCAGCTTCTTTTTAATTGTGTGCTCTAAGGCAAGTTGTTTACTCTTTCTTTTTTTTTATTGGTTGTTCAAAACATTACATAACTCATGACATATCATCTTTCATACATTAGATTCAAGTGGGTTATGAACTCCCATTTTTACCCCAAATACAAGTTGCAGAATCACATCGGTTACACACTCACATTTTTCCATAATGCCATATTAGTGACTGTTGTATTCTGCTACCTTTCCTATCCCCTACTATCCCCCCTCCCCTTCCCTCCCATCTTCCCTCTCTACCCCATCAGCTCTTGTTCAATTCTCTCCCTTGTTTTTTTTCCCCCTTTCCCCTCACCATCTCTTATATGTAATTATGTGTAACAATGAGGGTCTCCTTCCATTTCCATACAGTTTCCCTTCTCTCTCCCTTTCCCTCCCACCACTTGTCTCTGTATAATGTTAGTCTTTTCCTCATGCTCTTCCTCCCTGCTCTGTTCTTAGTTGCTCTCCTTATATCAAAATCATGGAATTTGCAAGGAAATGAATGGCATTAGAACAGATTATGCTAAGTGAAGCTAGCCAATCCTTAAAAAACAAGTGCCAAGTTGTTTACTCTTTCTAATAACTATCTCCTTGTCTGTCACTTGGTATTATATCATTGTAAAAAGAATATAAGCTTCACAAGAAGTGTGATGAGGCTCTCTCTATATATTGCTTACAAGTTCCTGTTATAATCAATAAATGCAGCTATTATTAAGCAATCATAGAATATCAGAGCTGGAAAGGATCTGAAAATTAGCATTTATTGATACTATTGGAAAACAAGATAATATCTACTGAGTGCTCTCATCAGATTATTTCAACTGAGGCTCACAGCAATTCTAGAAGGGTGACATTATGCCATCCACTTTAGAGATGAAGAAATGGAGGCATGAAGGGGTACTGTCATATATTCAAGATCACATCTCTCATAACTGATGGGGATGAAATTGAAACCCAATCTCCACTGTTAACCCACTAAACCATCAAACCCTGCAGCCTTATCTGTCATCCCATTTTGTAGTTGGTGGAGAGAAGAGGGAGGAGTGGTCCCCACAGGTGACTTTGGAGCTCTTCACAGACCCTGGAAGCCAGAGATGTCCTTCAAAGCACACTTTGATATTCACGCAGGAGAATATCAAATATCACAGGAGAGTGGAAGTCATCAGGAGTGTACTTGAGCATCAATCAGGTGCCCTGAGGGGGCTCCACAGGAGACCTAGGTGCAAGCCACCTTACTCCTCCTCTCTCAAATGCACTTTTCCATTTGTAAAACAGGCCACCTCCAAATAGAACAGTTCTGAGACACAAAAGAAACAGCACTCACTGGTGCAGGCATTAAGTGCCCTGCCCCTGGGCTCCCTGGACGCCACCTGCTCATTCTGAGCTCTGGTGGCAGGGTGAGATTAAGTACAAACTCTGAAATGTGAACCTACAGGAAGTTCTCAACCTGCTATCCTTGGAAGGATTTTACTCTTGACCTTTATCAACAAGACAGGGTTTAAAACAACTAGTGACATATTTTATCAGAAGAAATGATGTGGGGCTTTTGGACAAATAATAGCCCCCAAACCGCTTGAAGCAAACACGGTGCATGGTGCTTTAAAATATGTCCAACAGAGCTCGTCACTTCTGTTCAGTCCTCCCGGCTGAGCTTGAACTCCATTGCTGACGTGGGAGGGCGACTGAGTCTCACGTGCATGGGTGGCCAGAAGGATGACAGGCTGGAAACCATCCATTCCTAATAATCACGCAGGCATGGATAGCCCAGAATTGGAAAGAAGCTCATGAATTCAATACCAAATCTCAGGGGTAATTTTTTTTTTTTAAATATTGTCCCTGCTTTGAGGGGGATGGGCAAAGTTTTAAGTAGTTTATATCATTCTTCTTCCTTGTACAGAACTGGTATTCAGGGAACAAAGGCCTTTGACCTCAATAGTGTGTCTTTCTCCACAGGCATTGCACGGAGTAGAGTGTGTCCATCGGACCAGGCAAGGGACAAGGGCAGTGTTCTTCAACATACATCTGCACATGCCCCAGAAATTCGCCCACATCATCACTACTGTTATTGCACAGGATACCCCAAGAAAGACAATTTCCCCAGGCAGGATAGGTGTGATTTTAGGATTTGGGAAATCTCCCCCACTGGTCTTCAAATAGCTCTTCCACCCATCTGACAAAACACCAAAAGGATGCTGTGAGGACATGTCTTAATCTTAAGATGTTCCTCTCTGTCATTCAGAGATGAGTCATTTCTACTTTTGGAGGAATGAATAAGTTTATGCTGGAGAGAGGGAGATGAGGAGGGGGTGCCCATGGCAGTGGGAGGCCCTGCGTCTTCTCCCCGGTTCACCCCGGCTGCCCCGGCCTTGCTCGCTAGTTTCCCTTGGGAGAAGGCAAGTCCCTGTCATGGAGAAGGGCTTCTTTCTTCTCCAGTCTTTCCTGTCCTCAGCAGTGCCTCTTCGCCCGCATTCTGTGGACTCCTGCCCTCTGCCCTGTTCTTATCGCTTCTCCTTGGTGTTGCTGCCACCCAGGGCTCTCTAGTCAGAAATGCTCTTGACACAGGGACAAAAACGCCCAGGAAAGACAGCTCCTTCCGTCACCTTTCCAACACGTCCACAGACCACCCACTTGGTAAGCACAAGCTGCCTGGACTTATCCACCAGCTTACCATGGCCATGGCCATCACCAGCTTCAGGGATAAGGAGGAAAGTGTTAAAGGAATGTAAAGGGGATATCAGAACCCGTCTCCCCAGCATTTGTGAGCACCATCCTGAGACTCGGTGCTTCCGTGGCTGATGGAAAGGGGCATACAGTCGTTTGGAGACCAACTGACACTTTACCCTTCTTTTTGACAGGTAAGAACAGACGGCCATAATGGAAACCAAATCTCCAAAGAGTCCAGGTACCTGGGGGCATAATTTCAAAAGGAAAAAAAATCTTTTTATCAAAAAAATGAAAAACAAATCCAATCAAGCTAACCAGGATGCACACATGGGTTTCAATGGGGGGAATAAAGGGTGGGCACTCTGGGATCATGATTCTTGGTTTGGAGAATGCAGCACAAACTTTAGATTCACTTAATTATCTTGTAAGAGCTGACGTGTCTAGAAATTTCACATTTTGTGATTTTTCGTGGGCCAAATGTTCCATTTGTTACTTGGAGACAGTGCTCATAACAAACGATGGCCCAGCAAAAACAGGGGTGGATTTCCATGATTTTGCATGAAATTCTCATTAGAGAAACTGCCTAGCTTGTTATGAAGCTTGCTGTGAAGGTAGCTCAGGTACATTATTCTATTATCATGGCTCCTATTCACATAATCCACTAAAGGCAAGTGGTTAGAAGAGCAGAGTTCAGGATCAAATAACTTGGAAACCAAATTCTTCCATTCAACTAAAAAATATTTACAAAGAACCTATTACTCTCAGTCTGTGTGCTTCATATTGTGGTGATATGCCGGTAAATTAATAATAGAGTCATTGCACTTAAGGAATTCATCATTTCACTGGAAAGTTAAGAGAAGCGCCCGCAAGTAGCTGTATTGAAAAACACAGGCTAGCACATGCCGTCAGGCTTTGCTGAGATCAGGAAATAGGGACAAAATGCTGTGGAAACCAAAGAAGAAAAACTGTGTAAAGAGTCGTAGAAATCCGAAGAAATGGCAGGAATAAAAGCAGGGAAGTCACTCAGAGGCAGGATGTGTCAGACAAGAACGGGATCCTAAGGTAGGGGGGGGGGGGAGACACAGAAGGGCGGCACCACACGGGGCCAGACCTTGACCCCATCTTACGGGAAACCTCAAAGTATTTGGAGCATGGACCTAGCATGGTCATGAATTTCAGATTGGTCATATTTTTAATAGCTTTATTATCATCTATTACAATTGTCATGCAATAAACTGCACGTATTTAAAGTATACTATCTGAACCAGATGCGGTAGCACACACCCGCCACTGGGAAGGTGAAGGCAGGAGGATTTCTAGTTCAAAGCCAGCCTGGGCAACTTAGTGAGCTGACCCTGTCTTAAAATAAAACAAAAAGGGCTGGGGATGTTATTCAGTAGTGTAGTCCCCCTGAGTTCAATCCCTAGTATACCACTAAATAAATAAACAAACAAGAGAATGAAATGAAGTGTAATACCACAATAAGTTTTTAAATATATTTCTTAGTTATAGATGGACACAATACCTTTATTTTATTTATGTAATTTGTATGTAGTGCTGAGGATTGTACCCAGTGCCTCACACATTAGGCAAGTGCTCTACCACTGAGCTTCAACCCCAGTCCCCCATGATAAGTTTTTTTTTTTGCTTTTTTTAAATTATATTTATTGTTTTAATTTGTTCTACTTAGTTGTACATGACAGCAGAAGGCATTTCAATTCATTGTACACAAATGAATTGCAACACTTCAATTCTCTGGTTGTACACAGTGTAGAGAAGCACCATTTGTGCAAGGGTAATGATGTCCATCTCATTCCACCATCTTTCTTACCCTCATAACTCCTCCTACCCTCCCCTTTGCCCAATCCAAAGATCCTCCATTCTTCCCATGCCCCCCCCCCATCATAGATCAGCATTCACTAATCAGAGAAAGCATTTGGCCTTTAGTGTTTGGGGATCGGCTTACTTCACTTAGCGTAATATTCTCCAACTCCACCCATGTACCTGAAAATGCCATAATTTTATTCTCTTTTAATGCCGAGTAATATTCCATTGTGAGTATATACCACAGTTTCTTTACCAGGATAAGTTTTGACAGATGCATTCACCTGGGAAACCATCAAGATAGTGAACACAGCCATCATCCTCAAAAGTTTTCTTAGGCCTGTTTGTAGTTCTTCCCTCCAGCACGCAGTACTGCCTCCCCCTCTTGTCTTTGGATTTGCCTGAGTTTTACACAAATGGAGTCATATAGCACCTTCTTATAGTGTATAAAGTCTGACTTCTTCCACTCAGCTTAACTCTTTGGAGATTCACCCACAGTGTGGCATGTATTAATAGTTTTTCCCTCTCATTGAGTCATATCCCTCTTCCATGGATGTGCTGTACTTTGTTACCTATTGTCAATATTCCTAATGACAAAATAATTGGGTTATTTTCAGCCTTTGCTTATTACAAAGAAAGCTGATGTGAGCATTGTCTATAAATTTTTGCAAAATCATATATCTATTTTACCTAATAGAATGAAGGAATGAGATGATAAGAAGAGGTTTATTTATTTTTTCCAAATTCATTTTTTTTATTTCTTTAAAAAAAAAACTTTATTGAGGTATAATTGACATACAATAGGCAGACAGGTTTCAGTTAACAATTTGACAAGTTTTGACATATGTATGCACCTGTGAAGCCACCACCCAATCAAGATAATGCACCTATCCGTCAACTCCACAAGCTTTCTCATCCATTGTCTCCCACTCTTCCACTCACACACATTTCCCCAGACAACCACTGCTCTGCTTTTTCCATATATAAACTGGAATATTCTAGAATTTTATATAAATATCAAAAAATAAATATATATATACATTTTTAAATATTATTTTTTAGTTGTAGTTGGAAACAATACCTTTATTTTATTTATTTTTATGTGATCCTGAGGATCGAACCCTCAAATGTGCTAGGTGAGCACTCTACTGCTGAGTCACAACCCCAGCCCCATATAAATTTTACATAAATATCATCATGCAGTATCAACAAGTCATCTGGATTCTTTCACTCAGCATGATTTTTTTGAGATTCATCTCTGCTATGGCATATATCAATAGTTTGTTCCTTTTAATTCCCCAATAGTATTCAGTTGTATGGTCACAGTACAATTTGTAGGTGGACGTATAGATTGCTTCCAGTCTATAGGTATCACAAGTAAAACTCCATGAACATCCATGATAAATCTTTGCATGGTTGCATATTCCTTTGGAGTGGAATAGCCTTTTAACTTTTTAAAACAGATTTTAAAGAAAAAGTAAATGAACTATTTTCTTCTATTTTTTGTAACACTGGGGACCGAACCCAGGGCCTTGTGCATGCTAAGCAAGTGCTCTACCACTGAGCCCCACATCCTGAGCCCTAAATCAACCATTTTAAAGGAAATAATTTGATGTTAGCATATTCACAGTGTTGTGCAGCCACCCCTTCTACACAATTCTGAAACATGACCTCACTCCTGGATTAAAGCCTTTCACCCAACTGAGCAGTGTCTCTCTGTTTTCCCTTCTCCTTAGTCCCTGTCAAGCACCAATCTGCATTCTAACTCTAGGGATTTATGTATTCAGGACACGTCAAAGAAATACAGTTATACAGTATGTGACTTTTTGTTTCTGGCTGCTTTGTTTCTGTAAAATGCTTTTAATGTTCATCCATGTCAAAACATTTATCACTACTTCATTCCTTTTATGACTTGTAATTTTCCATCATATATATATATATGATGGAAAATTACAAGTCATAAAAGGAATATAGTAGTGATA